GGACTGGAAGGCAGCATGTTAGCTGATGCTAAAGCTAGGGTTACGAGTGCTCTTCAGCCCTAGCTGGTTTGTCTCAGTGGATAGAGCGTCGGCCTGCAGACTGAAGGGTCCTGGGTTCGATTCCGGTCAAGGGCACATGCCCGGGTTGCGTGCTGATCCCCAGTGGAGGGCGTGCAGGAGGCAGCCAATCAATGACTCTCTCTCTCATCATTGATGTTTCTATCTCTCCCTCTCCCTTCCCTCTCTGAAATCAATAAAGAAATATATTTTTTAAAAAAGAGTGCTCTCCAGATTGGAATCCTTTGGGAAAATGGATCATGTTTGCTATTGACAAAATTATAGAGGAACAAGAACACTAGCAAGCTGGCAAGAGCGTGCATTATGAAGGTTTCCTGGAGGGTAGCTTGGTATCGTGTATCCAAACAAAGAATGTGTATCCTCAGTCAGCAACCACACTTCTTGGGATTTATCCTAAACCTAAGGAAAGGATCAAGCCAGTGCATACAAATATTTACATAAGATGTTCATCACAGAGTTTGTAAAAATAAAAATTAAACCCTTCATTTCACCAAAAAAGAAATGGTGAACTAAATCCTGGCACAACCATGCAGTGGTTTCCGATGAAGCTATACTCAAAAAATAGGATGTAGATATAAACTTGACATGCATAGATGCCCACCACATATTAGCTAGAACAAGAAGGCTCCAAAGAAAAGAATTCAGAGGCAAAGAAGCATCGAACAGACTGTCAAACTACAGCGGGAAGGCAGGGGAGGGTTGTGCGGGGAGGTAAGAGATCAACCGAAGGACTTGTACATGCATATAAGTATAACCAATGGACATAGACACTGGGGGAAGGGGGAGGGCCTGTGCGGGGGTGGGTAGGGGAGGTTGCGGGGGGAGGTCAATGGGGAAAAAAGGAGACATATGTACTACTATTTGTAATGCTTTAAACAATACAATTAAATTTAAAAAAATAAAAAAGGCTCCAAAGAAAGATGCATATTATCTCATTTTTGTAAGACTGTGTACCTAAATCTGTTCATTTGCATGTAAGAATTTTTGCTAATATATACAACCAGAATCTTAACAGTGATTAATCTTTGCATGGTGGGATTACAAATGGTATCAGTCAGTTTAGTCTCAGTTATGCTTCGGTAATAAACAACCCAAAAGATCCCCGGCTTACAACAGTGAATTGGAATTTCTCATCCCTGCTCAAGTCTCCAAGGTCGACTGCTCCCCTGCCCAACATCTTAACTCGAGGACCCAGGCTGAGGACACAATCTCTGTCTGAACACGGCAGGTCTCTGTGGCAGAGAGAGGTGGACCACCTACTGGCTCTTACAGTCCGGGTAGGCAAGTCTCTGGGTCCTTCTCAGGTTCAACAGGGCAAGGAGAGATGACCCCCCACAGGCCCTCAGGAAGGGGCACTCGAGGAAGGATGGCAAACATTTGAATAATAACACCATCTACTAAAGTTATTCATCCTTGTCTTAGTCCATTTGGGCTGCTATAACAAAAATACCATCGACTGGGTGGCTTAAACAACAGACATTTATTTCTCACAGTTTTAAAGTCTGGGAAGTTCACGAGCAAGGCACCAGCAGGCTCGGTGCCTTCTCGCCATGTCATCACACGAGGTTAGGGAGCTCTCTGAGGTCTTGTTTCTTAAAGGGCACTAATCTCATTCACGAGGGCTCCATCCTCATGACCTAATCGCCTGCCAAAGCTCCGCCTCCCAATCCATATCAGCTCAGGGAGGAGGTCTCCACGTATGAATTCTGGTGGCACAGACATTCAGTCTATAGCAACTGTATTATTGAAGCCCCTTTCTTTGCAAAAATAGAGTTCTGTCCCAGGAAGTGGATGGTCACATGGAGATGGGACATGTGGGTTCTCACTGTTCAAGCCTCTTCAGGGGAGAAAGGTCAGGATTTTGCCTAATTTAAGAGACAGGTCAGTCAACCCAGACCCACGGTTAAGTATAAGGTAATGATGTAACACAAGTTCTGGATGCCCAGAAGTGTTATGCCAGCTCTGCTACTTCCTACTTAGATGACTTGGGTCAAGTTAGAGAGCCTCTTTGAATATAAAATAGCAATTATAATAGCTGCCCTGCCTATGCACACTACTTGGTCGGGGGAGGGGGGGGGTGTTCAATCTCTAAAATTGTGAGTACTCTTGTACGAGGAAGGTTTGCTCTTTCGAGTTGTAACCAACACACGGACACACATTCCATCTCCCCATCTCCTCTCATCACCAAAGTAGCTCGTTCACTTCTTCGTTGTTCATGTGTTTCATGTGCTTTTTTTTTTTTTGGGGGGGGCAGGTGAAAAATGACAACGGAAGTCTCACTGTGGAGGACCCCTTTGAGGAACGAGGCCTGGCAGGCCTGCATGCAGGGGGAAGTAGCCGTGTCCCCCACGTCCCTCCTGACCCCAGCCTCTGAGGATGGAGGCACATGGCAGGGCTCCCCACGCGGGCCTGATCGTCAGAGCCATGTAGGAAGCATTTAAAAACTGGTTTCCTGGGCTCCACCTCCGGGAGATTCTGATTCACCTGCGGAGGGTGGGACCAGGCTGAGTCACAGAAGCTGATCCATGCCACCCCCCACCTGGCCCTGGCGCCTGTCCAGGCCGAGTGAGCCGGGAGGGCCTGGGTGTCTCAGGTGGCAGGAGCCTGGCCACGGGGAGGAACCTGAGCGGGCCCAGGTTATCTGATGGTGCACCTGCTCCGGCCCCGTGCTCACTTCTTGAATATCAAGATCAGGGGAAGGCTCGGGAAGAGGCTGCCCGGGGCAGCACAGTCACCCCGCAAGCCTCCCCCGGCCAGAGGCGTCGTAAGAAGAAGGGATTCCCCCTTTCTGCTCCCAGCCCCTCCGAACCAGACGCGTGGCAGGCTTCCGCAGCCCACCTGCGCGTCCTCACCGATCACCCTGAAATGTATCTCTTTCCGCATCTGTCAACACGGCGGTGAGTTCCTCACGGGCGGGGACAGGTCTTATTCCTCGCTGCGTGCCCAGCACAGTGCCTGGCACACCAGTAGTGCCTGCTGAATATTTCATGAAGAAATGAGAAGTCGTAACACTTACCACAGGTTCACAGGAGGACTGATATTCACACCCACCGGGCACACGGGAAACGCACGTGCTCACCGCGGAGGGGCGGGGAACCCCATCCTGAGTCACCGGCCAGAGGCTGAGCGGCGCACGCCCCGATTTGCGGCAGGACTGAATTCCTTTGGGCATCACAGTAATGTGATGTGATGAGGTGATATGAAGAGGTAGGAAGCCTTTTCACAGGATAACGCCTTTCTCTCTCACACACACGCACGTATACACAGCAGATGTGGGCAAGGATCATGGATGGATGCTAAAATCACCGGGTAAATAATGGCCGGGGAACAGGAAGAAATCTCAGCCTAGACTAAGTCTCTAGCCCCCAAGTCAGAATCCCACGCTCCACAATGGAGCCCAGACAAAGGAGAGGACCAGAGTCAAGACAGGCTCCAGAGGGTCTTGTTAGGCTACTAACATACACACCAGGCGACCATTTCTGCAAGTGAAAGGCCAGGGGAGGATGAGCAGGCTCTGGGTCTTTTCTGAATCCTTCTTCCCTCCCTCTTCCCTGCTTGCCCCGCCCCCTCTCTCCCCCTTCACTCTCTTAAGGGAAAGGCTGCAGGGAGAGGGAACTGGGGAGGAAACTCAGGAAGGTCTGTGAGGCTCCCGACACCCCAAACATACCCTGGTTGCCAAAAGAGAAGGGCAGGGCTTGCTCTGATCTTGCCCACTGTTCTCAGAGTCCAGCAGGCAGGCCCTGTGCTGGAGCACACAGGGGTCGGCCGGCATCGCTCAGCCCCTTCTAGGTCCCGTCCTGTATGGTAGGGGCTGGAAGCCTGAGAGCTGGATCCCTCAGCAGCTCTTGCCAGCCAGGAGTTGCTTTAGAGACCACCAGTGAGAGGCACTCGCCGACACCACGACCCCTGCCCTGGCAGCGGTGGGCACACTCGATGCCAGTTCCCAGACCTCCGACAGTGGTCCTCCCATCCCCCTCACTGTAGGTGGTCCTCTAGGGATGCCAGGGCTGGGCCATGATGAGAGCTGAGATGTCCGTAGTATCAGTCCAGCCCCAAGCCCACCCGGGACACTGTCCTGGAATGCAGGGACATCCGTCACCCTCCTGGCACAGGGGAGGGGGTTTTCTGCTGCCAGGCCTCTTGGAGCCGAGGTAGAAGGGTCAGCAACAGAGAGTCCAGCACAGCCAGACCTTCCCAGGAGCACCGAAGACCCCTAGAAAACCAAGAAGGCCTGGGTGTGGCAGCTGCCTCCTCTCACCAGTTTCAATGCCCACCGTCTACCAGGGCCCCTGGCACCCACAGGCCCTTCCTCATCAGCGTTTCTCACTTTTCCCAGGTGTGTGGTCGGAAGTCAGGACTTCCTGCGACGTCTAACCGCCCTCCCACCGCCAGCACACCTGTGATCCAGCAGCAACAGGCCCTGCTCCAGCAGCGTGTTCACCGCCTCGCTTGCTCCAAACACGTCCCCCAGGGTCAGCTGGGGCTCAAACTGCTGCCAGTGCTGGGGAGACCAGAAGGGGCAGAGGTGTGGGGCTACGCTGGGCCATGTGTCTGGGTGCGTGGGGGGGGGTGAGGGAGGGTACAGTCCAGCACAGGGATCTCAGCCAACTGACTCTCATGCACACCAGGCCCAGGCCGACGGGCCAGCAGGGACGTGGGCACCTCCACTCCTCCATGGTTAGGCCGAAAGCCAGGTCTCCCTCGACTCATCCCCCACCCCCTACCCCTGCTGCTCAGGATATGGCCAGGGCTTTAGAGCCCTGACTTCATCCAGAGCAGCTTGAGTTGCACTGATCATTGACTGTACTTCCTATCTGAGCTCTCAGTGCTGCTCACAACATCTGAAGCCCTTAATCTAGTCTATTCCCCCACACAGCTGAGAAAAGGGACGTTCAGAGAGGTGAGAGGATGTGTGCTCAATGGTGCAGTAGAAGGGGACTCGAGCCTGGGTCTCTGCAGCCCTAGTCCAGAGTCCTCACCATTGCACCACACTGCCCATCAGGCCTCAGCTGGACTAAAGCCCAACCTCCAGCTGCCAGAGGGATGGGAGGGGTGTGTGTGTGTGTGTGTGTGTGTGTGTGTGTGTGTAAAATGATTATGCACGGCTTAGGAGGAAGCAGTGTGCCAGAGGGATGGGAGGTGTGTCGTGTGTGTGTGTGTGTGTGTGTGTGTGTGTGTGAAATGATTATGCACGGCTTAGGAGGAAGCAGTGTGCCAGAAGGATGGGAGGTGTGTGTGTGTGTGTGTGGTGAAATGATTATGCGCGGCTTAGGAGGAAGCAGTGTGCCAGAGGATGGGAGGTGTGTGTGTGTGTGTGTGTGTGTGTGTGTGAGAAATGATTATGCACGGCTTAGGAGGAAGCATGTGCCAGAGGGATGGGAGGTGTGTGCGTGTGTGTGTGTGTGTGTGTGTGTGTGTGTGTGTGTGTAAATGATTATGCACGGCTTAGGAGGAAGCAGTGTGCCAGAAGGATGGGAGGTGTGTGTGTGTGTGTGTGTGTGTGTGTGAAATGATTATGCGCGGCTTAGGAGGAAGCAGTGTGCCAGAGGGATGGGAGGTGTGTGTGTGTGTGTGTGTGTGTGAAATGATTATGCGTGGCTTAGGAGGAAGCAGTGTGCCAGAGGGATGGGAGGTGTGTGTGTGTGTGTGTGTGTGTGTGTGTGTGTGAGAAATGATTATGCACGGCTTAGGAGGAAGCAGTGTGCCAGAGCCCCTGGACCCCTTACCTGGTGAGTGATCCCTACGTCTGTGCGTAGCCCCATCGCCAAAACTTCCTCCAGCCTGAAAGGAAAACCATCCGGGGGTCTTGGAGAGGAGACTCGTGCTTCTGCCAGCCTTCTAGCCCCGTGCTGGGATGTGTGTATGGGGGGCTTATGAGGACCGTGCAGTACGGGACAAGGTAAGAAATAAGAAGGTGCACATGGAGGCGGTTCTGGGGCCGCAGGGGAACCCCGGGGAAAGCGCCCAGTGCCCTCAGATGCTCACAGCTCCAGCTCGCCCAGGGAGAAGCGCTTCCGGGTGCCGTGACCGAACAGCTTCACCTCCTTCATCCAGTTGTCAGGCTCCAGGGTCTGGATCCGAGCCTCCCGAGCAAGGCCCCCAGCCCCCTGGGGCACAAATCGCCCATGGGCCCCTGACAACATCAACAACCACACCCATTTTAATACCCGCCGACACGGCGTGCCTGCCAGAGGTTGTCCGTGGCTCTATAAGTGTGATCCCCGGACCCACAGCATCGAATACGCTAGAAACCTAAATTTGCGGGCCTTACTCCCGCCCTGTGCACCCAGACATTCTGGAGGTGGGGCCCAGCCGCCTGGGTTTGAACAAGCCTTCCCGGTAATTCTGGCGTGTGCCCAAGGCTGAGAACCACAGTGCCAGGCATTAAGAGCACCTCAAAATACACACTCAACGACATCACTTTTTTGCCGCGCTGTACATATGAGCGAACAGAGGTTAATAAGTGGCCCAAGATCACACAGCCGTGACATTCCACTCCTGAGCCACCCCCCTATGGTTCACCGGGCACTCACCAGGCCCAACGCCAATGTACTGGCCGCACTGCCAGTAAGTCCAATTGTGGGTGCTCAGCGCCCCCTGTGGGGAGGGAGAGGATAGTCAGGGCCGAGCAGAGCTGGCAGCCCGGTTGCTGCTCAGGTAAGGGGAACCTGGTTAAAATGCCCCCCCCCCCCCCCCCCCCCGACCTCAGGCCTCGAGGACCCAGCTGAGACCCTTCTCCCCACAGGGTCCCTGTCCTAGGGCTCGCCTCAGCCTGCCCACTCCCCACCGTCAGCCAGCAGCCCCAGGACTTACATTCCGAGCAAAGTTGGAGACCTCATACTGGCGGAAGCCAGCCTCCCGAAGGACCGCCCGTCCCTCCTGGTACATCTGGGCAGCCAGCTCGGGGTCCGGGGCGGGGAGGGCACCCCGCTGCACCTGGGCGAAGAGGGCAGTGCCCCGCTCCAGGGACAGCTGGTAGAGGGAGACGTGGTCGTCAGCGAGGCGCAGCAGCTCCTCCAGCTGCCTGAGCCAGGCTCTCACCTGCTGCGCCGGCAGCCCCAGCATCAGGTCCACGGACACGCGCCCGGGGAACAGGCACCGGGCCTCTGCCAGTGTCCGCAGAGCGTCGCTGGCCGAGTGTGTCCGCCCCAGCAGCTGGAGCTCAGTGTCATCCAGGGCCTGGGGAGAGAGGCTCGGTAAGCACACCGGCCGGCTCAGAGGGAAACAAAACCACTTGGCCCGCCTGACTGTAGACCCGGGGTGGGGACCCTTGCTTCTGCCAAGGGCCATTTGGACATTTATAACATCATTCACGGGCCAAGCAAAAAGATCAACTTAAAAATTAGCCTGCTTGCCCTCACCGGTTTGGCTCAGTGGATAGAGCGTCGGCCTGCGGACTCAAGGGTCCCAGGTTCGATTCCGGTCAAGGGCATGTGCTTGGTTGCAGGCACATACCCAGTAGGGAGTGTGCAGGAAGCAGCTGATCGATGTTTCTCTCTCATCGATGTTTCTAACTCTCTATCCCTCTCCCTTCCTCTCTGTAAAAACTCAATAAGATATATTTAAAAAATTAGCCTGCTATATTTGGTCAAATATGTAATCAACTCACCCCTAATGCCTGGGCAGGGCCAGACCCAATACTGAGGGCATACCATTCACTGAAGGGTCACGCACTACGGGCCAAGCTTTTTTATGCGACGTCTAATTCATCCTTATAACCCTCCAACGTTCGCTCCAAATTTACAAAGGAGAAAACTGATGTTCAGAGATGTTAAGTAACGTGCCCAAGGTCACACAGTGACAGAGTCAGACCTGGAAGTTTAGGACTGCCTGGCCCCAAAGCCAAGAGCCTTTCTTAATTTTATTTTGATATGAATATTTCAAACTATAGAAAAGTTGGGAGAAAAAAGTCAAAAGACCACCATCTAGATTCACCAGCTCACATTTTGCCACATTTGCTTTGTCTCTCTATAAATATACACGGTATGATGACGATGTTGACCCATTGGAGAGTAATGGACAGACCAGCACTACGGAAATGTTCTATACCACACTGTCCAATACAGCAGGCGCTCACACATGTGGCTATTTAAATTTTAAGGTAATTAAATTTAAATGGTCACATGCCAAGTGTTTCCTGGCATACAGTCGTGCGGCTATAGAGCATTTTAGCAGGAGATGGTAGCCACTGGCCACATGCTAGTGAGCATTTGCAAATGGGTTACTTAAATGTAATCAACTTAAATATTGTACCCTTTACCCCTAAATAGTTAAGCGTGTACTTCCTCACAACAAGGACATTCTCTTACATAACCACAAGCCAATTACAGAGTTCAGGAAATGTAACGTTGACACGATGCCATTATCTAATACACAGTCATATTCAAATCTGGCCAACTGTCCCAATAATGGCTACTGTAGTAATTTCCTCTCCCCACCCCACTCCAGGATCCAGTCAGGGGTCACAATTGCACTCAGCCGTCATGGTCTCATTCGTTGCCTGTAGTCTAGATCCTAGCCTTTCCCATAGCTTTCAAGATAATTGACATTTTTTTGAAGAGTACGGGCCAGTTATTTTTTTCAAAATATCGCTTAATGAAGAAATTCTAGAGATCTGCTGCTCACCACTGTCCTAACAGTTAACAAATTTTTACTGTATACTATATACTAAAAATTTGATAAGAGGTTAGATCAACCTCATGCTATCTGTTCTTACCACACATACAAAACGTCTTTTTCCTTTTCATTTCTTATTGAAACACCGATTTGTTGTTCCACTTATTTATGCATTCACTGGTTGATCTTGTATGTGCCCAGACTGGGGATCGAACCCACAACCTTGGCGTATCAGGACGACACACTAACCAACTGAGCTACCCAGCCAGGGCAAAAGTCTCTTGTTTAGGTTTCTTTGCCATTAGAGTCCAGATATGCATGCATCTGGGGCCAGACTATCTCAGCAATGATGTGTTCCTTGCGGTATATCCCATGAGAACAAGGCTCTGACCCCAAACCCTGTGGTAAGTGGTGCATGAATTAGAAGTGGGGAAAGCAATACCGGATATGAAAACACGAGAGGCCAACCCGAGAGGATTCTATTTCTCCCACTTACACACCTCCAGTGGCTCCCCTATAAACCACGAGGCAAAACCCAAACTCGCTAGCATGGTGCTGAAGGCTTCCTTGTGTCCAGCCTCTCCAGTCACAAGGAATGACTCGCAGCTCCCCCAAAACATGCAAGGCTCTTCTGTATCCTGTGTCTGTTCCCCCCACACCCTCTCCCCTGGTGAACTCCTCCTCCTCATTCAAACATCTCCGGTCTGGGAGGGCTTCTATGGTTTCATCAGACTGAGATGCCCTTCAGTCTGTACTCTGAAAGCCTTTTGTAGAGACCCCCCCCCTTACCATGCTGCAATGAACTGACCACCTGCTTGCCTCCTGCTGTGTCTCCAATCATGTAACAATCTTTCCTGAGCACCTACTATGTGCCAGGCACTATGGAGGGTGCTTGGAGCACTGTGGACTAGCACAGACGCAGACCATAGCATAGTTACAAAAGCGTCACCAAACACTTCAGTACCTACGAGGCCTTGGCACCCGGAAGGGGCTCAATAAATGTTTGTCCAAGCATGGAGGGACCTGGAGAGTGTCATGCTAAGTGAAATAAGTCAGTCAGAGAAAGACAAGTATCACATGACCTCACTCAATGTGGACTCTAAGTAACAAAATAAACTGATAAGCGAGTGGATCCAGAGCCATGGAAGCATGGAACAGAGTGCAGGAATCTCGGAGGGAAGGCGGGGAGGGTGGGTGGGTGGGAGGTAATCAACCAAGGACCTTGTGTGCATATATGCATAACCCATGGACACAGGAAATAAGGTGCTGAAGGCCTGGGGCTGGAGGGGGTCAATGGGGGAAAAGGGGAGACATATATAGTAATACTTTAAAAATAAAGAATTGTTTTTAAAAATCGCCCTAACTGGTTTGGCTCGTGCA